ACAGGGGAATAACTCTAACTAATATAGTATCTAAAATATTGGCCTCAATAATACTTCGACGCTTAACGAAAGCTCGTGAAGAGCAGACTCGAGAAAACCAGGCTGGTTTTCGACTAGGACGTGGTTGTATAGACCACATCTTCACACTACGACAGGTCCTGGAACACAGACACACATTTAGGCGTCCTACAATAGTTGTTTTCCTGGATCTTAAGGCGGCATTTGACTCTGTGGATCGTAAGGTTCTGTGGCAGTGTCTGTCATTGAAAGGTGTACCACAGAAGTACATTAACCTTATACAAGCTCTCTACTCGAACACCACTGGTCGAGTGAGAGCTTATGGCAAACTGTCACCGGAATTCTCTACTTCAAGTGGTGTCCGTCAGGGATGTCCACTCTCTCCATTCTTGTTTAATTTTATCATAGACATGCTCCTAGAAATAACCTTATCCTCGTCTGAATTTTCAGGAGTAAACCTTCTACCAGGTGGCTCGCTTATTGACTTAGAATATGCCGATGACATAGTTCTATTCGGTGAAGATGCTGACAAAATGCAGAGTCTTCTGACTACCATAAGCAACAATACAAGCATGTTTGGGATGCGGTTTTCCCCCTCGAAATGCAAAATGTTGCTTCAGGACTGGGTTTCATTGGCACCTGAACTAGTGATAGGGAGTGAAGTAGTCGAACGAGTAGACCGCTAAACCTATCACGGGAGTTTCATCAGTGCTGATGGCCTGGTGATTGACGAAATCTCAGCTCGGATACAGAAGGCTCAATTGGCTTTTGCCAACCTGCGTCACTTATGGCGTAGGCGTGATATCCGTTTGCTGACTAAACGACGAGTGTACTGTGCAGCAGTTCGCTCCGTTCTCCTATATGGCTGTGAAACATGTGCAGTGAGAGTAGAAGGTATTCGTAGGTTACTGGTTTTCGATCGTAGGTGTCTTAGAAGCACTGCTCGTATATCGTGGGACAACCGAGTAAGCAATGCTGTCGTTAGGAAATGGGTACTAGGTAAGGATGGAAGATTAATCGATGAAGTGGTGAAACTTCATCAGTTGAGGTTGTTGGGACATCTGTTACGAATGCCTAATAACCGACTGCCTCGACGAGCTTTGTTTTGTAGTGTAGGAATAGGTTGGAAGGGAGCTAGGGGCGGCCAGACCAAAACATGGCAGAAATCCATGAAGTCATTGACGAGTGAACTTAGCGATGTCGGTACTTGTCGACTACCTGGTTGGGGTCCGCGAGATGATAATAATCGATGGCTAGAGACCTTGAATGACACGGCTCAAAACCGTTTGCAATGGCGCCGGTGCATTTATTCTCTGTGTTCTCTCAAATCCTAATCTTCTGGATTCTTCAACACCTCTAGATTTGACTTTCTAAACTTTTCTCACTGAATCATACTTGTTGAATAATATCTTCTAATCCTAACCTCTTCGATTACTTCCAATACCTTGACTACCTCTTCTACTATTGGATTTGAATTGACGATTACTTCTCTGTGCTGATGTGGTATGACAACATGAACTGACGTACTTACGTACGAAGTTCTGCGTTGCATCTGACTGACTGACGAAAAGAGTAAACTGAACTGAATATGTACAATTATTAATATAAGGAAGTTCGATTCACCAGAGGGTTCTCGGAAAATTCATCGTCAAAGCCTTTACAATCACATATAAGTACTGTTTTCTCTACATCATATCAGTTACAATAATAGTGACTGCCTCGATGAGCTATGTTTTGTGGTGTACTAGGTTGGAAGAAAGTAAGGCGGCCAAAACAAGTGTCGACAATCTGGTTGGGGTCCGCGAGACGGCAGTAACCGATGGTTAGAGACCCTGAATGATGGCGCTAAATCGTTTGCAACGGTGTAGGTGCATTCGTTCTTTGTTTTCTATGAACTTCTAATCTTCAAAAATCCTCTTCATCTCTATCTTTCTCGTTCTAAAGTTATGTCACTGAATTATACTTGAGTAGTATCTTCGAACCCTAATCTCCTTCACTGCTAATACTTCTACTATCTCTACCAGTCTGGGATATGAACCGACAGTAACTCCGCCTGTAGACCCTTCAGGGCTACTGCCGGTACCAAACCCGGATAAAGGAGGAGGGTCGGGATGTGGGTTGGCGCCCCCATCTCGGAGAAAACTAACTTGCCACAAAACGTCAACAAGGAAAAATAATTCAAACCATATGAACTCTGCTCTGAGAGTTATGACATCTCATGATGAAAGCCGAGCTCCTTCGGAAGTCATGAGGCCGATGCCCCTTCTGACAAACAGAACCCTTCCGTGGTGTGGGAAGACAGAAAACAGCAGTGATATCTTCTAGTAAGATAAACCATAAGGTTAGGGAGGAGCCGTGCATTTCAGTAGCATCTACGGAACTGATGGATGCTCGGAAGCTCATCCCGCCTGGCTCTGAGTGCGATGAGGAGCGAAGTCAGCTTAGGCGCAGGCTGATAAAAAGCCTACTCAGTGATCGCGAACAGTGGTGGGTGGAGAAAGCAAGGAAGATGGAAAAGGCGATGGCGATAGGCAAAAGTAAGCAACTACTATTCAGGTTCATCAAGGAACCCGAATGCGAATGAGACTATTTCGGAAAAAGATGATCTTATTATTCATTCTCAATGCAGGAGATTGAATCGAAGGGCAGAACACTTTAGTGATCAGTTGTATTGGCCCTCAGCCACATTTCGGCTGCCCACAATCTCCAGTCGTCCTGAATGGCAAATCGGTGTAAGTTGTCCAACTCTTAGTGAAGTTGAGGAAGCGAGGTAGAGCAGCGGGTCTTGACAGATTGACTCCTGAGATTTTTAAAGATGGTGGTCCAGTTTCAGGGGTCAATCTGTCAAGACCCGCTGCTCTACCTCGCTTCCTCAACTTCACTAAGAGTTGGACAACTTACACCGATTTGCCATTCAGGACGACTGGAGATTGTGGGCAGCCGAAATGTGGCTGAGGGCCAATACAACTGATCACTAAAGTGTTCTGCCCTTCGATTCAATCTCCTGCATTGAGAATGAATAATAAGATCATCTTTTTCCGAAATAGTCTCATTCGCATTCGGGTTCCTTGATGAACCTGAATAGTAGTTGCTTACTTTTGCCTATCGCCATCGCCTTTTCCATCTTCCTTGCTTTCTCCACCCACCACTGTTCGCGATCACTGAGTAGGCTTTTTATCAGCCTGCGCCTAAGCTGACTTCGCTCCTCATCGCACTCAGAGCCAGGCGGGATGAGCTTCCGAGCATCCATCAGTTCCGTAGATGCTACTGAAATGCACGGCTCCTCCCTAACCTTATGGTTTATCTTACTAGAAGATATCACTGCTGTTTTCTGTCTTCCCACACCACGGAAGGGTTCTGTTTGTCAGAAGGGGCATCGGCCTCATGACTTCCGAAGGAGCTCGGCTTTCATCATGAGATGTCATAACTCTCAGAGCAGAGTTCATATGGTTTGAATTATTTTTCCTTGTTGACGTTTTGTGGCAAGTTAGTTTTCTCCGAGATGGGGGCGCCAACCCACATCCCGACCCTCCTCCTTTATCCGGGTTTGGTACCGGCAGTAGCCCTGAAGGGTCTACAGGCGGAGTCACTGTCGGTTCATATCCCAGACTGGTAGAGATATTAGAAGTCTAAGGATAAACGAGGCGGTGAGTGCCACAAGAGGACTTTTCCTTCCTTATAAATTGGGACGGACACGGATTGAGACCAGTCGTATGGGATTATGTTAGATCCCAGATTCTACCTAAGATTCCTACCCTCTTCCTTTATCCGTGTTTGTGCCGGGCGGTAGCTTCGAAGTGTCTACAGGCCGATTTCGGTTAGGTCACCACGACAAGGTAGGAGCTATGATCGGAAAATCCTATTACTACATACACCTTGCTCTCCATATGATATCAGTTTTAGTAGTGCGTATTCCTGTCAGCTTTTACTCGTTTGTATCTGTAATGTTTCCCTCACTGTTGTCGATGATGCTTTAAGTAATCATATTCAGAAAATAATTTGTATTTTCATACCATTTATGTAGGAATGCTATTTTCCAGACTAAGTGCAGTAAAAAAGCTCCTACCATATGTATGATACTGTGTTATGAGGACTTTGGCAAACCCAGTTCGTTAATATTTAAGCTTTCTATCACTGATTCACAAACCTGTTGAAACAAGTTAGGATTTAATCTATTGTTTTAGTCAAGTTTGGTTTGTTGACTTCGTAAGTATTCACAGCGTCCATGTCACTATTTAGTTTCTCCACACCTAGTGATTAGTATGGTTATAGGCGACTAGACCCCGTCAAGTACTAATACAACATGTATTAAATCCACGTGTATACAGAGTCAATAAATAATAAAACTGAAGTACTAAGAAAATTCCTACTGTGGCTTTTTATATAAGCGGACCATGTCCATAGAATTAATATATCCATGGTTAGCAGTTATTATAGAGTGGTCAGTTTGACTTCGCTTTCTCAGCCGAGGTGACCAGAGCCCCCTCAGTGGACAGCTTTAAGAGACTTGACAAACACGTACTCACAGAGATTATCGATTCCCTTGAGGGCAAGTTGTGCCTGATGCGTGCCCTGATATTTGCTAGTTGTTATTACTGCCATCTCCTCAGATCACTAACTTAATCTATCTCACTCATTATCTGTGCTTTCCTATCCCTTGCCTACACTTCGGTTCTCTCTCATAATCTTCACTACTAATTAATAAACTAGATTGTCTATTTATTTACTTAGTTCTGAAATCTTATTAGCATTGGAAATTTTCTGCTTACTATTCTCCACATTGCAACTAACTGATCTGCTGTCTGGTAATGTGATAGAAACTGGTATCCAGAAACCCTACTGCCCTGGAACAAACGAATCCATTCAAATAACGGGACATACAACCGCCAAACTGACTAGAATTCGACAGTCGAGTGGCTAGACCCCCTCCACTGGACACTACCAAACACCTGGAACCGTGCCGAAAGAAAAAGAACTGAGTGTAAAGAAATCAATAGGCTTATACTGGGTCGTGAAAAGATAATGGGTAAACCTGTTAAGTAAAGTAGCTTGAAATACAGAATTAGCTATGAGTTCTATTTACTCAGAACGTCAATCAATTATGATTAGCTTTCCGAAGGCCGTATAAACTCAATAGGTTCTTCATAATATACTGAATATAGATGACCCGAAAATATAGTAAATACAACTGTCATGACCAAGCCCATCAAAAAGTTTGAATGATCCTTTCTCACTTCATTTGCAGTCATTATAGTTTCACGATCAGAATGTTTCTCCCAAAATTCATTCAGCGCTCTGTTGTGCTGTTTCACATAAAATGATTTAAAACTATTGGTGCTTTTGTCCTTTATGGAATCGACTGTGTAACTATCCTCAGAGAAGTGTTGCACGTCTCCGCCTCTAGAACGTATTAGACCACGGTCATATTCACTGCGTTTGACAGGATTCCCAAGGATTTCATAGGCTTTTACCAACTCATGGAACTTGCCTCTCGAATCAGGGTTATCAGTCACATCAGGATGGTATATTTTTGACAATCGATAGAAAGCTTCTTTGATATCTTGATGAGTCGCGCTGTTTGATAGACCAAAAACGCTGTATAAGGAATCAACTTTTGAAGATAACACTTTTGATGTTTTTACACTTAAACTGGTAAGTAAAAATGACGGACATTTTGTAGCTAAATGAAACTAAAGTTGATCAAATAAAAACTGTACAAATATAGCATTACCATTCCGGTTGCCCGCCACGGTTTCAGACTTCAACATGAGTCATTTTGCTTGGATAGCAGATTTAAAGGCCGAGTGATTGGAATTATTCACTTTACTTACATTTTCATGACATAAGTTCACAAAGTATTCGGTTCATATGGATCTTCGGTATCTTTGTAGTGGATGCACTTTTATGAAGAGAACGCGATTGGTTTAAGAGAAACATTAATTATTATAGCACAGTTTACCAGTGTTTGTTTGACTGTACTTTTTGTTTACAACACTCTTTTACGCACAGAATTTCTGTTTGTGTTACTACCATCTTTGCTCCACCGTGTCTTTCGCCCATCTTTCCTGATTAGGTTTCGTTGTTCTTTCGACACCAGGAAATCGCCAGCAAATACATTGTTTACCTTGGATTTATTCATCATCACACTGAATGGTAAGAAAACAGTATTTAGTGGTACCAATAGTCAATCTGGACTCAGTCACCTCTAAAACTGGTGAGCTGACGTTTTAGCCAAATAAGTCAATTATGATGAGTCAATTGTTCAGCTATCCCCATTGTTGTTCACTGATCAGTTGCATATATCATACCGATATCGTTTATCATATATTATGCTTGAAACAATGATTCAAAACATTTTGCCAAGAAATCCTACTGCAGGCAGATCTAGACAATTAAACGGAAAAAGAACCAACTCATAACTTCTTGAGCTACAGCGTCAAAAAGAAAAAGATTAAATAAAATATCACAAAAGCATCAGATCACTATGCCTCATCATTATATTCTGTAGATCAACATTGTTACTATCATTTCAGTGCTTCTGAGTTTGCTCTATTTGCACGATTAATTGCCCATTCGTTATCTTACTAGTGACTTGTCTTCATTAACCTACACGAGTTCAGATGTACAGCTAGTGTTCTAATTTTAAAAAATATCCACTGAGTCACTATTTGGCCTTAAACAAGAATATTTTCTGTTCTGCTCCTCGCCCTGTTCTCTTTATTTCTCTTTTTTAGCACATTACTCCAATCCCTAAATATTAGCCTGGATATTTGCCGAAGACTTGGTTACTTTACTTAGGAGCCTCTAAATTTATTAGCTGACGAATGTCTACAAGATCTTAGCACATTTACCTCGTCAATTCTTGTTATATGCAGACCTGGCTCTACCTTGCATTGTTTCGCAGTCATTAGCAGTTCTTCCTAACGAAACCGTCGTAACTCACACCAACTATTCGCATTTTACATTGCAGAGGTTAGAAAATCATCTATAATTTTATGTGGAAATTTTTATCCATCTGTATGAGGCCAATTTATCCTATGAAATATTTCAGTAACTGAACAACCTTCTACAGAAATATGTTAGCAATCTGTACATTTTGGTCTTGCCTGTAAATTGGCATGCCTCTTGTAACATGCTCTTATCTAACAATCATTTATTATTGTTATTATTATCACTCACTGATCTGCTGTCTGGTAACGTGATAGAAACTGGTATCCAGAAACCCTACTGCCCTGGAACAAACGAATTCATTCAAATAACGGGACATACAACCGCCAAACTGACTAGAATTCGACAGTCGAGTGGCTAGACCCCCTCCACTGGACACTACCAAACACCTGGAACTGTGCCGAAGGAAAATGAATGGAGTGTAAAGTAATGATATAAAATATACTGCAAGCCTACTATAACTGTCCGAAGACCTGTCACCACGAAATGAGATACAGCATTCATTATGTTTTGGGAAACCTAAATTTACATATTAATGTACAACTTTATGCACTTACTGTTCCGTTTTTTCGAGGGATTAGTAACCAATTAAGAGTACAGATTTTGCTTTCCCACACAATGAAGGCTAATTGGAAATCATATGTCAGGCTGAATTCTACAACTAAACTAAGTAGATGTACACTCGTGACTATATGAATGTAATGGTTATGATAAGACGAGTAATAGTTATCATTATAAAATGACGAAGACATTTCTTTTATATTTAAGCACTGCATTACTCTACCTTTTAGGGATCTATATTGACTGTAACATTTTTACTCCTTTTAGGTCTCCTCCCTTCATATGGTTCCTTGTCAGCTCGTCAACATCCTATTAACTTGTTTTTATTGACATATAATAATACACTTGCGTATCAAGCGATCCTATAGAAGGAAATTATTATAAATTACCATGAATTATTTACTCTATCACAAATAAAAAACTCTCCACTCGAAAAAAGTTTCGCTTTCCTTCTATCCCTTTCCTATTCCCTCTTCTTTACCAGTACCATTGTTATATGCCGCTGAAAACATTTTTCAGATTTCTGTTAACGCAAATTTATTCTACAGCCAGCATATCTTGAAAAATAACTGTAAGTGAATAAATTGTCACAATAAACCCCGCAGCATATGCATTATATTTTCATAGACTCGTTCAGACGCCCAACGATTTTTTATTAATTCTAGAACTCGAGGCGGCATTTGACTCTGTGGATCGTGATATTCTGTGGCAGTGTCTGTCATTCAAACGTGTACCGAAGAAGTACATTAACCTTGTACAAGCTCTCTACTCGAACACTATAGGTCGAGTTAGAGCTGGTGGCGGGCTGTCATCCGAATTCTGTACTTTAAGTGGTGTCCGTCAGGGATGTCTGATTTCCCCATTCTTGTTTAACTCTATCATACATATTCACCTAGAAATAACATTATTTTCGTCTGAATTTTTAGGTGTAGTCCTTCTACCAGGAGATTCATTGGTTGACTTGGAAAATGCCGATGACATAGCTCTATTTGGTGAAGACACTGGAAAAATGCAGTGTTCTGACGACAATGCAAGCATGTTCGGGATGCGGTTCTCACCCTCGAAATGCAAATGTTTCAAGATTGACTTGCTCCAGCACATGAAGTAGATATAATGAGAGAAACAGTTGGATGTTTAGATTGCTTGACTTATGTCGGGAGTTTTGTCAGTTCTGTTTACCTGGTGAATCACGAAATCTCAGAAGGGATATTGAAGGCTCGATTGGCTTTTGCCAACTTGCCTCACTTATGGCGTCGGCGACGTGTCGGTTTGCTGACTACAGGACGAGTGTACTGCGCAGTTGTTCGCTCCGTCCTACTTTATGGCTGTGAAACATGACCAGTCAGAGTAGAGGATACTTGTAGATTACTGGTTTTGGATCATAGGTGTCTCTGAACCATTGCTCGTGTATCATGGGACAACCGAGTAAGCCATGCTGTTGTTAGGAAATGGGTACTAGGTAAAGATGACAGATTAATCGAAACTTCATCACTTGAGGTGGTTGGGACATGTGTAACGAATGCCTAATAACCGACTGCCTCGAAGAGCTTTGTTTTGTAGTGTAGGAATAGGTTGGAAGAGAGCTAGGGTCGGCCAGACCAAAACATGGAAGAAATGCATGAAGTCACTGAGAAGTGGACTGAGTCATGCTAGTAAGTGTCTACTACCTGGTATTGGTCCTCGAGACAGTAGTAGCCGGTGGTTGGAGACCCTGAATCATATGGCTCAAAATCGTTTGCAATGTCTTAGGTCCAGTCTCCTGGATTTACAATGCATAATAGTCTCATCATTATTGGTGATAGTCCCACCAACATCCGGATTTCTAATAATGGTTTTTTAAATATATCTGAATCATTGTCTACTGTTTCCTGCTGCCACTACCTTTTCTTTCTATCTCGCTTACTCTACCCACCACTGTTTTCGATCATTACGTAAGCTTCTTTGTACGCTGTTATTAGGCCGTCTCCGCTTCTCATCATGTTGAGAGCTAGAGGGGATGGATTTTCGAGCGTATATCAGTTCTGTTAATGTTTACGATATCCACTGCTTCGCTCTAAATAAAAAACTGACAACCTACAAATATCTACTCTGACCGGCCATGTTTCGCATCCATATATTAGAACGAAGCGAAGTACTGAGCAGCAGACTCGACCTTTGGTTAGAAAACGGTTATCTCGTCTACGGTACAAGCGACACAAATTGGTAAAAGCCAATGGAGTCTTCTTTATCTGTGCCGAGATATAGTCAGTTACCAGGTCATCAGATAAGTTAAAATTTTTGATGTCCCTATTCAAAACGAAAAGAAAAAAGTCCTCCCACTCGAAGTGGTGAAAGAAACTTTTAATTCAAAATCGTAGCTAACTACGAATTTGGCCATCTGACTCTACAACCATGTCTAGTCGTTACTGAGTCCTCTTCGTTTTTCGTCGTCAATGTTACAGTTGACTACGAACTGCGTTTCAGTGAAAAACAGTTTTCTAAGGATAAATGTTTTTGGGCTGATCCTCCTCTTGGATTCAAGCCAATTTGATTCGGTCGATGCTGATGACATTCTTTCTTCCAGCTTGATCGACCGTAATAGTTCAATAATTTCTCCTAATCAACTCAAATGAGCCATCCTAGGTTGGCTGTTAGGGACGTAGCACATTATATCTTCAAAGCGATACTTCGGTAGTGATAATAATAATTTATTCTCAAAAACAGCACATTACAAGAGGCATGCCAATTTACAGGCAAGACCAAAATGTACAGATTGCTAACATATTTCTGTAGAAGGTTGTTCAGTTACTGAAATATTTCATAGGATAAATTGGCCTCATACAGATGGATAAAAATTTCCACATAAAATTATAGATGATTTTCTAACCTCTGCAATGTAAAATGCGAATAGTTGGTGTGAGTTACGACGGTTTCGTTAGGAAGAACTGCTAATGACTGCGAAACAATGCAAGGTAGAGCCAGGTCTGCATATAACAAGAATTGACGAGGTAAATGTGCTAAGATCTTGTAGACATTCGTCAGCTAATAAATTTAGAGGCTCCTAAGTAAAGTAACCAAGTCTTCGGCAAATATCCAGGCTAATATTTAGGGATTGGAGTAATGTGCTAAAAAAGAGAAATAAAGAGAACAGGGCGAGGAGCAGAACAGAAAATATTCTTGTTTAAGGCCAAATAGTGACTCAGTGGATATTTTTTAAAATTAGAACACTAGCTGTACATCTGAACTCGTGTAGGTTAATGAAGACAAGTCACTAGTAAGATAACGAATGGGCAATTAATCGTGCAAATAGAGCAAACTCAGAAGCACTGAAATGATAGTAACAATGTTGATCTACAGAATATAATGATGAGGCA